CCTCACCACCAAGCTAAGGAGAGATGGTGCCAGGGCTGACTCCAGAGCCACACTTTTCCTCTATGGGGAAGGGCACAAGGTGGGGGGAAGAGTGGGGTCATGCAAAGGGGGCCTCTGCTGGTGTTCACAGACCCTGTGGCCCCCTGGCTTTGGAGGTACCCCAGACTCGGCAGCACTGGAGGGGCCAGGCTCATCCCCTCCACCTCAGGCCCTCTGGGCATTACCTGGAGTGTGTCTAGCCAGGGTTTGCACAAAGCCAGGCTCAACTCTCAGTACAATAGTGATAAATAGAATTTATTTTGTACAACCCTTACTGACATACATGTAGCCACAGGGCTTCCAAAGTGGGTGTTGGGGCTGGAAGTCTCGACTTGGGCATGGCTCCTAAGAGTGAACAGATACACACAATGGCTCACAGCAGCTAACCCTGGCAGCCCCCTCCACAGCAGCTGTGGGCAGGGGATGGCCTGGACTCCGGACCAGCTGAGACCCCTCAGCCCAGAACGCCCAGGAGCGTGGGGTGGTAGGGTTAAGCTGGGTGCTGGAAGAGGAGCCAGGGAGGACCCTCTCCCCAACAGGGGATTCACGGCCATCGTGAGGAGGAAGGGTGTGGTAAAGCCGGGGCTCAGATAGGGTGATAGGTACACCAGCCCTTAGCCCACCTGGGGCCTCGGGAAACAGTGTGATAGGAGGTCCCCAGGAGGACAATGGCCCCCTTCTGGGGCAGGTGCATGGAATCAGTTTTCAGTGACCTCTGAAATAATCTTGTCCACTTGCAGCAGAGATGCCCCGGGAAGGAGAGTACCTTACCCAAGGTCCCACAGCAGAAGCCCCGTGGGACTCCCTGCTCGGGGTTCACTCTGCGTACCTTCTACCTTCTGCTTCTACAGTGGAGTGTGTGCACACAGTAGAGTCCCTTCTACTCCCATCCTGCTCCCCATGACTCCAGAGGGGAACAGAGGTCCAGGTGGGGGCAATGCAGGGTCACAGTCCCTGCCCACACCCAGAGCCCCAGCCTGGGGTGGGGGGAGATGCCAGCAGCATCCACTCCCAGCTCTGGATGGCTCCGCCCTGCGGAGACAGCCCAGATGGGTGGGCCAGGGGGGTTGGAGGCAGGGGTACCAGGGGCTGGGGTGGCTGTGGGGCAGAGGGCCAGCTGCCTTGATGTGGTGCAGCATCTTCTCCTTGTGCTTCTGAGGCCTCTTCTGCGGGGAAAGGGAGATAAGAAACTCAGAAGACGAGAACGACAGTCTGGGAGGGCCAGGCATGAGCTCTTCCACCCCACGGGCATCCCCAGCCTCTCCCATGTTCCATGACTGCCATGACCGCCCAGTTGCTCTGGGCTCCATCAAGCTCCCCAACAACTCATAGGCAGAAGTGAGGCAACACTATGAGCCCCAATGCACATATGGGGAAACTGAGGCCAAGAGGCACTAAGACCAGACCAGGTTCCCAGCCACCAGGACCTGAGACTCCCCTCCTCTACCCCACAGAATCAGGTAAGTACTGGCTGACCTGCTCAGTCCGGCCTTCTGATGAAGTGGCAGCTAGCAGCCCTGTGGGGACAGATACAGCCAGAGGTGGGGGCAGGAGACACAGGGAACCAGAAGTCATCAGGTGAGCCCAAGTCCTCCTGGCCTAAAGGGGCATCCCAACTGTCGGGGTCCCCCTGATCCCTGGGTCCCTGTCCTCCACCAGCTCTATCCTCTCCCAGGAGGGGTCCCTCATACCATCTGGGTTGTGTGCTGCTCAGATGTTTCCAGTTGGATCTTGATCTCGGGACACGCAGGGTCCCCCAACTTGCCGGCGTCTGGGTGGGGTGACCGCGTGAGGCCTGGGAAAGGGGGCAGGAGGGAGCCACCTCACTGGCCAAGAGGAGGTACCAAGGAGATGCAGGCATGGATGGGTGGTTGGTACTGGGGTTCCCCAACCCTGCCAAGTCCCCCCCTTTCGGGGATCCTCACTCTTAACTCACCTCCCGGCTACCCTTTATTATCCTGTGAAACCAGGCCACCTGCCCTGGACCATTGCCCCCATAAGAGGCTATCACATCACATCCCCATGCTATGGAGTATAGGACTGGTCCCGCCCCTGTGCCCCGCCCTCTCCCACCCAGCATGGCTACCCTGGTACCTGGGGAGCTGCCCCCGCTCGTGGTGCTCACACTGTCGTCCAGCCATGTGCTGTAGAGGAAGGAGTCCCGCTTATGGGGAGTTCCTGAGGACGACACGCTCTCCTGGGAAGGGGGGGGAGGTCAGCCCCGCCCACAGCCCTCACCCACCCACCCCCATCCCTTGTTCACTCAACACACATCTGCGTATGTATGTTCTCCCGGTCCAGGTCTTGGGGACAGAACAGACCCAATCCGTGACCCCAGGGAGCTTGATGTCAGAGGCCAATAGGCTGTGAAGAACCCTGTAACTCTACTCTGGGAGACCAGCGGGCAGGGCCAGGCCAGTAGCGGGTACCCAGTGGAAGTATGTTTGATGAAGAATGGCCAAGGTACTGAAGGGGAGGCCACAGGGAGTGTGTGAGTTGGCCTGGCCAAGGGGGAAGGAGAGCGTAGGAAGATTAACAATGGTGGGTGAAAGGTCCGAGGGTGGAGTCAGCCCATGACAGTTCGGGACTGCAAAGGAGCTCAGAGCGCCTGAAGAAGTAAGAGATGCGACAAGGGCATAAGGAGCACCCGGGTCCTCAGGGGTCTCTGTGGACAGCACTGGGAGCCATGGAAGGCTAAGACTTGTCTGCATCTCCTACGAGTTGGGACAACACCCCCAACACCTCAGTCACAGCCAGGCTTTCTCCTCTACCCAAAGCACCTCCAGAGTGCTAAGAGACCCCTACCCCACCCCTGCGGGGCCCTAACCCCTCGGGCATCTCACCAGGCCTGTGTCATCCCCGTCTACACCTTCCGTCTCCTCCACCACGCTGGCGAAGCTGCTAGCACTGGATGAGGACCTGGAGAAGCCTTGCAGTGCCTCCGCTCTCTGGGCCGCCGTCTCCACTCTGCCATACAGTGCCATCAGCCAGCAGCCACCACAGGCGCTGCACCCCATTCCCTTGTCCCATGCTGTCCCCCAAGGAAACTCAGCCAGGAGCCAGCCAAGCACCCCATGGCTATCATTATACATTATAGCTCTTCTGGCCACTCAGGCTCCAGGGACTCCCAGTGAAGCCATACTGCGTGGACCTGGACCTACTGCGTGGTCCCTCCATGCTTAATGCCTTCTCACTGCCCCTGGGAAGGTCTGATCGCTTTGGCTTGGTACTCAATAACTGTGGCCCTTAATGGCTTAGTCCCATTAGTCCCATTCATTGGTCCCTGAGATGGTCTGTTATTAGGGGACCCATCTCACAGACATGGAGGCACAAGGAGGGTGCACTCAGCCTCAGGTCACTCAGCTCCAGGAAGAACAGGGACTCAGAACCCTCACACTCAGGACCTTTGGATCTCCTGCCCAAAGTCTTGCCTAGTCCAAAAATGCCACAACCCAATTTTGTCCCTGTCACACTTTTCTGTCTCTGTTCAGCAGTCTGACTCTCCGGCTCATGGTGAGTCCTCTTGATCCCTACCCTCACCCCAACAGGGACCAGTCCAACAGAGTGGCAGCCTCCTCAGGCCCCCCTGCCTCTGGCCCCACTCATTTGCCAGCCTCTCCTAACCGCATGGTTAAAAATACTGTTCTCTTCATAGGCTTTTATCCCACTTAAGATAAAACTCAAAGCCCCTACGGAGCCTCCAAAGCTATGAGCAGGTCCTCCTCCCACCCTCTGACCTTGTTCCCATCACCACCCAAGGGCCCAGTCCCCCAGTTTGCTCCAACTGCCTGTGGCCTTTCTTTCCAGCCATGAGGCATGCCTTGGGGCCTTTGCACTTGCTAGCTCTTCCCCCAGAACCCTCCTACCAGGTCCATCAGGGTGGGTTCCTCTCTCAGCTCTCTGTCTAAAGCCCCGCTAAGGAGACCTCATTCCTCCTTGCGCCCGTTATCTTCATCTGCTGTCTGTGTGGATGTGGTTTGTTCGGTGTATCATCCAGGCTAGCCACTCTGTGGCCCCATGTGCACACAGTTTGCAGCTATGTTCCCGAGTACAGAGGGGCACAGCATGCACAAGGCACTCAATGGGACATCAGAAAACAAAGAATGAGAGGCTCCCCCCCCCAAGCCCAGTGTACCCGAAGCCCTACCTGTTCTTGGTCGTGGGCATCTCTGGGGAGCTCTGGGTGGAAGAGTTCTCTGACTTGGGCTCCTGTGAGACGTGCCCGCTGTCTGGGGTCTTCTGGCCAGCTGGAGGGCTCTCCCTGCAGGGCACACAGGGGGGACTTAGCACCGAGCCTGGCAATGGGATAGAATGACCCAGGCAGTGGAGTGGTCATGGGCATGGGATGGGCTTTTCGGCTAGTTGGCCCTTCCTCTGCTTGTGATGGTCTCCTAAAGAATGCCCAGCTAGGACTTGGGTACACCAGGGCTTGAGTTCAGATGGCATGAGACTCTACTGGCTGCTGCACTGTGTTTGTGACAAGGGACCTGCACGACAACCCAGGCTGCTGGCTGTTTTCCTATCTCACACTTCTCGTGGCCATGAGTCTCAGAGAAGCACAGTGGCATGCCCAAGGATGCCCAGCTGAAACAGGATGAGGATCTCTTGTCTACTTTCTGGGCTCAGCCTTACCCACAGGTGTTCACAGATGCTGCCAGCCCCTCTCACTGCCCAGCCCTTGCTGGCTGTATGAAATGGGCAAACTGTTTCTTGATCTGAAAGGAGCTGGCCCCAGGGAACCCGTGGAACTACTGAGTATCAGACAGAGCATTTCATCTTAGATGATAGCTCTCACTGGAGGGGTATGAGGCAGAGCGCAGGCAGGGGTCAGGGTGGACCAGTGGGCTGGCGCCCCCTGCAGGTCAGGGTGGGAGGTGGGCTGGCGCCCCCTGCAGGTCAGGGTGGGAGGTGGGCTGGCGCCCCCTGCAGGTCAGGGTGAGAGGTGGGCTGGCGCCCCCTGCAGGTCAGGGTGGGAGGTGGGCTGGCGCCCCCTGCAGGTCAGGGTGGGAGGTGTGCTGGCGCCCCCTGCAGGTCAGGGTGGGAGGTGTGCTGGCGCCCCCTGCAGGTCAGGGTGGGCGGTGTGCTGGGTGCCCCTGCAGGTCAGGGTGGGCGGTGTGCTGGGTGCCCCTGCAGGTCAGGGTGGGAGGTGTGCTGGCGCCCCCTGCAGGTCAGGGTGGGAGGTGTGCTGGCGCCCCCTGCAGGTCAGGGTGGGAGGTGCTGGGTGCCCCTGCAGGTCAGGGTGGGAGGTGTGCTGGTGCCCCCTGCAGGTCAGGGTGGGAGGTGCTGGGTGCCCCTGCAGGTCAGGGTGAGAGGTGTGCTGGCGCCCCCTGCAGGTCAGGCTCCCACTCACCCACCTCTTCTCCTGCACCTCCTGGATGTTCTCGATGCCAATGGCGCTGCTGCGGCGGGAGCCAAATGGACCAGACTTCTTCCTTGTGGGGCTCTTCCCAGGGACAATCAGGGACTGTGGGGAGAGACTCCAACTCAGTGCCTACCTGCCTTGGAACCCCAGTGGCCCCCACCTCCCTTTGGGGCCCTGCCACTGCGCCCTGAAGCCAACAGGTGATGAGCAAGAAAGGAGAGAAAATGTGCTTTCCGGAGGGCTGCCTGATAGACAGGCAGGCCCAGAGAGGGCCAGTGTTGCTCCGAAGAACACACAGCATGTCTGTGCTGGACCCAAGTCCAAGAAGAGCAGGGGGCAGCCACTGGGGTCAGGAGGAAGGACAAATGCTCAGACAGCCCCGCCTCTTGCCCCTGGGCCTCATGGGAGCTCCAGCCTAAAAGTAGTAGTGAGAAAGCAGTGGCAACCCCAGCGTCTGGGAGGGTGCCTGCACCCTCAGACTTCAGGCTCTGTCCCCCCAGAAGGGACATCCCCCTTTACACACACTATGGCGGGATGCCCGGCATCAGCAGCATGGGGAGGTAGGAAGTGGCCCTGAGGAGGCATGAAGGGCGGGACAGGACCTGCAGGCAGCTCATGGTGTGGGAGGGACACAGGGAGAAGAATGGTGCTTCATGCAGAACTGGCAATATTGGGAGACGTGCAGCTGGGGCAGAGTCTTTGAGTACCAGATCCCGGCAAGGACCCAGTCAGGGTTCTAGAGGCCAGAGTCTCCTAGTGAGGGCCAGGGGACTCTGACCGGGTCCCAGTGTCACCAGAGCTGTGGCACTCTGCCCTGCACGCCCTTGGGCCTGTCCCGGGAGAGGGGCAACGTCCCCAATATGGCCTCCGTCCTGAGAACGAGCAGAGAACAGCGCGTGCAGGTGCAGGCAGCTCCAGAGCCGCGGCCCCTGGATGGGATGGCAACCTCTTCCACAGCTCCTATGCCTAAGGCGCTGCCCCGGCGTCCGAATCTACTCGCGCTTTTCCCGGGAATAAGCAATGACTGGTGTGGGGCAGAGAAGTACACAGTGGTGGGAAAGAGAACACGAAGGGAAGGAGAGAAGAGAGACAAAGGAGGCAGCGGCAGGTAGGTTCCGCAAGAGCACACAAGAGAAACCGAGGGGTAGGGAGGGGCAGGGGGCACAGACGGGGCAGAGGAGGCGACATAGGAAGAGTTGGGAGGGGGTGCAAGCAGAAACGGTAAGATGAGGGATGACAGATGGCGAAGGAAGAAAAGGAGGAGGAAACAGGAAGAGTAAGAAGCCACATGAAGAGGGGGGAGTTGTGTAAAAACAAAAACAGAAATGGGTCTGGTTACTGCCACGGTGGGTGTTGCTGGCCTGGCCCTAACCCCGGGGCCCCTCCACAGCCACCCCCAGGAGGCCAGGCCACTCCACAGGCAGGAAGGGAGGGGGCTGAGAACCTGGGGAGAAGTTTGGGCCAGCTCCTAGATGACAATGGACTTGGTGACCACTGGACAGCAGAGACCTCACCTTGCTCCCCTGGCCAGACCAGACCACGCGGTAGATGGTAGGGGATAGAAAGACTCCTGCCACATGACACAGCCTCACAGCACAAAGCACAGGGCTCGGCATGCAGCAGACAGTAAGAGAAGGATGGGCAGCTGGGTAGGTAAACAGATGGATGGACTGATGGATAAATGGACAGGTGAGTGGATGGGAAGATGGATGGATGGAAAGATGAATGGATATATAAGTGGATGGATGAACGGATGGATGGATGGATGTTGTAAGTGGGTGGATGGATGGATGTGTAAGTGGATGGATGAACGGATGGATGGATGGATGTTGTAAGTGATGGGTGGGTGGATGGATGGATGGGTGGATGTTGTAAGTGGGTGGATGGATGGATCGATGGATGTGTAAATGGGTGGATAGATGTGTAAGTGGATGGATGGAATGAACAAATGGACAGGTAGGTAGACAGATGGGTGGATGAATAGTATGATGGGTATATGTACTGTTGGATGGGCAGATGAATGGGTAGAAGGATGTTTGGGTGGGTTTGTGGGTGGATTGTGAGAGCGCAAATGGGGGTGGAAGGGCCGAGCAGTGGATGCAGTGTCTAAGGTGGCCACTAGATGGCACAAAGCAGCTAAGTTCATAATGTAGATTTGTAGAATTCACTGTGTTGGAGGTAGACTCCCATAGAGCCTGGCAGACAATTAGTAATTATAGTGAAGGGGTTCACTCAGAAGAAGCCCCCACAGATGCCCAAATACAGACATACAAAAGGCAGTCACAGGCATTGAGGTCCTAGCTGCCGCAGACATAGAATGCCGCACAAGAAATGACCACACAGCAACATACATCCTGGCAGACAGCATATGTCCCCTGATAATCAGGGCTTAGCACACATCATTTGTTCACACAGCAGCCCAAGTCCTGACACACAGTAGGTGCTCACACAACAGCCCAGGGTTGGGGCATACAGTAAGTGCTCACAGAGTAGATGCCCACACAGCAGCCCATTTTCCGACACACAGTAGGCGCTCACACAGCAGGCCAGGGTGATGCACATAGTAGTGCTCACAAGAACTCAGGGCTGGGACCACAGCAGGTGCTCAGAAAGTGCATGTCCACACAGCAGCCCAGGTCCTGACACACAGTGATGCCCACAGCCTGACATACAGAGGTGTTTCCAGAAACCTAAGGCTTGACAGTAAATGCCCACACAGCAGCCCAGTTCCCAGCACACAAAAGACAGTGGGTGTTCAGTAAGGATCGGGACATAGAGGCTGCAGAAGTCACGCCCACATAAACAAAAGGCCAGGAGGAGAAGGCCAAGGGGCTGGGGCACAGTATCCCAGTATCCTGATCGGGGCACTTGACCATGGAAAGCAGGGTCTACACCAAGTCCAGTGCCCGGGATGGGTGCATGAACAACAGGGCAGTGGGAGGAGGTAAGGCCAGGCCTCAGGAGGAGGGAGAACCAAGGGCCCGGGGCGGGGGGGGGGACAGGGGAGGTGGGGGGACACTCACTATTCCAGCTGCCTTGGCCAGGTCAGGGTTGTTGGGGGTGAAACTCCCACTATGGCTAGTAGACACGGTGTTGGGCTTCTTATTGCTCAGTCCCATGGCGTCCATGGACTGGCTCCGACTCCGGATGACCCTCTGTGGGAATAGGGGTGGGTATGAAGGAGGTCTGGGCTTCCTGGGGGCCTCTTGTCTTTGGGAAACCTTGGGGACATGGTCCTCTGGCCCCACCCTACCAATGGCCCTCTGGGTGAACCTTGGAAGCCCCACCCCTTTGTGATGCATCGAGAGGCAGGGAGGCAGAATGCTTGAGAGTAGCTGGGCTTTGGCTGTCTTGCCAGCATGCTGTCCCATGGATGTCATGAGGATGGCAGGCAATACTGAGTGTGCACGTGGCTGACTGTGCACACCAGGAGCCCTGTGGGACTCTCTTGGGGTCCTTCCCCTGCTATCTGTTCATTTTCAGACCATGCTAGAACTCTGCCATCCAAGCCTCCCTACAAGGTGGGACCATCTAATGTGCACCTTACCCAGGAGAAAACCTAGGCAGAGGTGTGCCTAGGGCCCATAGGGCCAAACCCTATGCCATCCCCATAGATCCCATTGCCTTGGAGGCATGCTTTGACCTAATCCAGGGCCCCTACGTGGTACCAGCTAGATGAGAAACCCTTAGATTTGCTCAAAGGAAACACTAGACCTGTGTCCAGTCGGTGAGTCCCTGACTCTGGTGGTAGGGCCAAGTCTCTCTAGGTCGATTTGTTGGTGTCGCCTGTGGGCCACTGGACTCACCTTCCTAAGTGAACCCACAGTTCCCACTCTAGCTGAGCCTGCATAAGTGAGCCCTCCTCCCACCCAGTGCTCTAGGAGGGCCAGTAGCTGCCTAACACCCTGCAGCTGGGGGCGCCTCGCAGGAGTTTACACCCCACATTATGCTAAACTAACTGCTTCACAAATAATTCAAAGACATTTCTGTGTGCTGGGCTGCCATGACCCCCATTTCCCTACTCAGCAGATAAACTGAGGTTTGGAGCATGCTCAACCAAGCTGGTAAGTGGCAGGTCTGAGATGTAAACGCAGGGACTCTGTGCTCTTAGTGAAACCACAAAGTACCAGGGGAGGTCGCATGGCCAGGTCCCTCTGCAATGTCACCTGGTCCACTATGCCTCCTGAGCCTGGTTTTTTTTTTTTTTAAATAGACAGACCTCCTCCCCTTTTCTGTCCTCAGACCGTGGCACCAGGGGCTCCTTTCTGCCATCTGGAGGACTCCTTTGGTGGTGCTCCCAGGTTAGACCCTCTCCTGAGCCTCTCCAGCCATTAACTCCACCCCAAACCAGAGCCCCACTTTATTTATACTCTTCTCCCTGGCTCAGACTACCCAAAGCGCAGAGCACTCCTCCAAATTTCAATGCACCGGAAAGTGTAGGTCCACCAGCTATGTCCTCAATCCTAGCCACACTTCTAAGCAGAGATCTGATTAGCCCTCAGCCAGACCCCATCCAGCCACATGCTCAGGACTCAGACCTGCCCTAACCCCACACTAGCCACACCTCCCTCACGGAACCCTAAGCCACACCTCAGATCCCACTCTTAGAGATAAGACCAGGAGCCCCACCCCAGGCCCATGCACACCCGAGCTGCCTCTAGCCATTGTGCCCCACTCTTCCATTAGCCCCAGCCCACCCAAGCCCCATCCTGCAAAGGCAGAGCCCAGGGCCTTCACCTTGAAAGACTCGAAGAAGCCGCCCCCACCACTGCCATTCTCCATCTTATCATCGTCGCCACCCAGGCCCATCATGGACTGGCTGTGGATATGGAGTTCCTCATAGAGTGTCTCCAGAAGGGCAGCACGCGTCCGCTCCTGTGGGTCGGCCATGAGAGACCCCAGAGATCAACCCCTGGCCTGGCAATTCCAATCCTGGCTTCACCTACCCTGTGCGAGGCATGGGGAGGTCCTTAGGTATCTGCACTGGCTTCCACAATTCTCTACCCCTCCTCCTGCACGGCATCTTCCCCCTCCTCCCCACCCCTAGACCCTGCCCTCTGCTGCCTCTCACCTGACCT